ACTGAACAAATGGCTGTTAAGCAAGGACTACCTGCAGTCACTGCCTAATGTAACACGTAATTTATGATATATACAGAAGGAGAGAGAATATTGCATAGCAGCCTAAGCAATGTACGTATGTCCTGTCCATCCTCCTAAATTCTCAAGCAATAAGGCAAGAAAGTGCATGTTTCTTTGTTAATCACACTGGAAGAATAATTTGGGAACTAATTTAGAATTTTCACAAATGTTTGTTGATGATTTTAGTCCAGATTCCATTCTTGTATCCCTAGATTGCATTGGTGGTTATCAAGGGTCTTATAGTTGCTGTCTGAAGGGCTATTTTGATAGCTGGTTTAAAAATGTAATAAATACCATTGTTTATTTAATTGGTCTTTTCATTTAATTATGGCCTTCAGTCTGTAAATTGTCTAACAAATTAATGACTGATTCAGAAAGTAGAAATCTGAAAATGAAGGGAAGCAGTGATAAATATTTCAAATATATATTTGGAGTTCATTATTTGGTTCTAGTACTTGTTCCATGTGTAACGAATATATACGTTCAATGTTGTGCAAAGGGTTGCCTTGACTCAATAAAACTTCCATAGGATCAGCCCACTGAAACAGGTTTGCAAATTGTAGCTGTAACTTTTGGTTTTTGCAGCACTTCACAGATTTAAGGCTTTCCTGCTGCTGCTAGGGTTGTTAGAGCAATAACTGTAGCAATTTTATTTCTCTAAACAGAGAATTCTGAAGAAGTGGGTTGACATATGACATAGATAAAATGTAAGCAGCCCAACCAGGAGATTTCTCATCTCATTCAACCTTCTCTAATGCCAACTCTGTCTGCACCTCATAAAAGCTAATAATCAGAAGCAATGCAAAGCATGTTCTCTCACAAGGACACTGAATTGTCATGCCGATCTTAGCACTCAAGAAAAACAAATGGAAAATAATGAACTTACTTTTTAAGCGACCCTTGAAATAAATTATTTTTTAAGTTGGTATGGGGCTGTTTCTGCATTGGGTTCTTTGCTAGCCAATATAGGGGGCACTGTATTTCCTAATTACTTCTATCTCTCCCTTAAAAGAGATAATGAAGAATATTTCAAATTTTTATTGCAGTGAAACTCTTGGAAGGTATTCAGTCAAAAGTTGGTAGGGCTAATACTTTCTCTAGATGGCCTGCTATCTTTGCCATTTTCTTCCCAGTCTACCAAAATAATGAAGCAGATGCGGGTGCTTCCCCATTATGACTCATGGATATTTTTTTAACCATAGGTTTGCCCTTGAATCCCAAACTGAATCACATCTGTTGGGGCCATGCCTAATCTCCATGTATATCTCCACAACCTTCTTTTCATTTCATTTTCTTTGCAAAAGAACTGGTATACTTATTTAAAAAACAACAACAACCATTTCCCCTGATATCATACCAACTGGGACAAATACTTTGGGGATCAGACAGCTTAATTTAGGCAAAAGGGAATAAAAATGAGTATCATTCTAGGGTTGGGAGTTGTTTTTTTTTTTACATTTGAATAATAAAATCACTTTACATCAGTGTTAACAAGATATTTGATCTGAAAGATACATAGAAGTGAATTATTGTTTGAGGAAAAGCACATTTCATAAGGCTGTTTTGTCACTTAGGAGTTTTCAGTTAGTGCTGACATTCTCCTGTCCCCAGCATGAGTCATCTTGCCTCATATCACAGCAGGTCTCCAAAATCTCTGTGCTTATGAAATAAGTTAATATCTGTAGTCAGCATGATAGAGTCAGCTGTGAAGCCTCTTAATATCTAGTAATAAGATATAAGAAATATCTAGATATTTCCTTGAAGCATGTATTTTTAAGGAGGTTTTTCTGTCACAGCTATGTTTTTGCATCAATGTATGGCATAATTCTTTTGGTTGCTTTTTCTTCTTTATGTCAGCTTCCCCACTCTGAGGTCCTCCAGAAGTGCTTCAGCTCCCATAATTCCCACCCAGCACGGCTTCCACATAGCACTTCTGGAAGGCACTAGATATATGCATTCTTTCCAAGCCTTGAAATCAATACCCCCAACTTTAATACATCAATATTGTAAGGCCGTAGATTTGTACTGTTCCTGCAAATGCATGATGAGAACTGGATATTCACTTCAAAGACCAAAGGTAGTTTCAATATGCAGCTGCTCACGTAATATTCTTAGGTACCTACATCAGATAAATAAATTGCTCAGATTGTTCTTTTCATTGACTATAATGTTAGGTAAAGTGACTTCTAAAAATGCATTTATTGAATGGTTAGTGACTGAACAAGAATTTCCTACTGAATGATCTCAGTTTGATCACCAGTAGAACTGTTGCTGGCAGTTCTGGATAAGTACCTGCTAAGATTGTTTAGAAAGAAGATCAAGAGGGAAATGAGGATTGAATCACACATGGCAGTGCAAGTATGGTGTTTGGCCTGTGCAGGGCCATTTAAGACAGTAAGGTTGCTTAGTGATCACAGATCTTAGTTTGCAATAATAATAGATGTGTAAAAGCAGGGGTCCTCAAACTTTTTAAATGGGGCCAGTTCACGGTCCCTCAGAATGTTGGGGGGCCGGACTATCGTTTGAAAAAAACATGAGAGGAGGAGAGCCGCCGGACCCGGCATACCTGTCATGTAGAATAGTCCGGCTCTGCAGTCTCCCTCCTCGTGCATCACCTGCAGCTCTGACACTTCCGCTTCTGACAGACAGCAGCGGCAGCCAATCAGGTGGGCGGGCTGGATAAATGACCCTGGCGGGCTGTATCTGGCCCGTGGGCCGTACTTTGAGAACCCCTGTGTAAAAGAATAGAAGCGTTCCAGCCCCAAAATAACTGTTTCAAGCATGAAACAAAAGTTTGGTGGTTTTGTTCTGAGTGAAACAAAGCTTGGCTGTTTTGAATGGCATTGTTTTGAGTGTGGGTCAAGGATTGTGATTGGGGGGATGTTTTGTAGCTTTGATTCGGTTGCTTTCCCCCCCAAACTTTCCAGCTGAATCAGCTCAGTAGTAGGAGCCAGTCATGTCTCTGCTACTGTAGGTTTAGATTGGACGGGGTGATATGGGAAGTAGTTATGGATGTGGTCAGACAAGAGGATTCACAGCTGTATGGCTGCCAGCCTGCTTGGCAAGTTACTGGTATTGTGGCAAAAATAATCCACCAAGAAAATGAACAGACGGGAGAGGGTCCAAACAATTGTTTTATTAGTCTAAAGCTATCAGGTTACATGAGTCTTCTGCACCCCAGCAAAGAGTAAGAGCCACAAGGTTACATGGATCTTATAAAGAATGTTGATCAAAGACAGTTTGAGCATATGTCCCAAAGACACAATTGTTTTCCAGCTGGTAAGGGAACAAGATAACCACAATGGGAGACATGGGTACCCTTCATGGTGTGAAAACATTACACATGCATTCCTAGAACGGAAACATAACAACTTTGATAAATGACTTATGCCAAGGCTGTAATTGTTATTCCAGCAAGCAGATAAGGAAATGCCTCAAATCTTCTGTTTTCTTTCAAAATGTGAACTCTGTAATCAAATCAGACACTTACCAGACACAGATTTGTACAATAATAAAATTTAATTTGTAAAGATGTTAAACATGCAGGCGTGCACACACACACACACACATGATGCTACATTCATAAGTAAGTAAGCATAAGCATGATTATACAATTGATTTAACCTGAGTTCTTATTCCAACCCACCACACTGATGACTTAAAAAAAGACTTTGCTATAAGGAAATTAAAATTCATGTGAATATATGAGTGTGTTTCATATGTATCAGGCAGTGCTTTATTTTGCAAGTTTTTAAGGGAGTTATATGCCTGTGTGCACATGGGTGTGCTACTATCTTGCACAGAAATATTGCTAATGGTGCTGAAGTTGCATAAACAGAACCACTACTGAAACAGTGTTTGGTTAGTTTGTGGAACTATGGCAATGATGGCAAACCTTTTGGGCTCAGCGTATCAAAAATTCAGAAAATGCCTAACTTGACTTTGCTGACGTGTTCCCCCACCCGAATGAAAGAGAAACCACCCAGATTCGCTTTGTGGTGAGATGGGCAGTGGCAAGTTAGAAATATAAATAAATGAATAAAAACAATTCTTAACATATTCATTTATTTTTTAAAAAATACAGTCCAATGGTGTGGTGCTATGCATTATATAAAGAAACATCAAATAATTACAAAAATGAAATATGAGTAAAAGAAACTCAGTTTCTTTGGTAACTCAAACAGGGAGAATAGTTGTTGGGTACTGATGAATGCTGCCTTGCCACCCAAAATGTCGTGGCAGGTCACCTTTGACACGGGTGTCATAGGTTCACCATCACTGAGCTACACTGTGACTTTGTGCTCTTTTGTCAGATTATTGTGGAGCGCAGGTGCATTTAAAGATGCAAAGATTCTCTGTTGTATTTTTATGAATTAAAGCATCCTTTGGCTCAGCAAAGGACTTAGATTCATATTCATGGCAAATAAATAATTTTGTTATTTCAGAAGGAATTAGTTAATAAAATCTACATTGCTCCACTGATGGTATTTCAATTAGTCAAAAAAATTGAAGGTAATTTTAAACTATAGCAGGCTCCTGATAAGGATGACATATTAAGCAGTACACACTTATTCTTTCTCTTGGCAGATACCTAGTTAGATTTTGCGCCTATACTTGGTTTTGTTTGCCATTTTCATTTGTGCTAAAATGGATATTTTCTGAAATGACATGCAACTAAACAGTTTTGCGTAAGTAAGCCATTTGCATAAGTCATCTGGAGCCAGAGATTGAAGATCCATCAATTCCCATATGAGATCCTAGCCTACCGAGAGCCGTTCAGTGATCTAATGTATGCTATAGGTTTCCTGTGGCATAGGCAAATGTGCTTCTCTTATTTTTTGGTTTGATAGAACAGATCAACATTTCAGTTTCTTAAAAAAGCCATCTTTCTAAAAAGGGGGTGCTCTCCATGCTCTTACTATGTATTCTGGATTTTTCAGGGCCATAATAATCAGAAATGGAGAGGTTATTCCAATGTCTTCAGAATTCACACCAGAAACAGAGCGCCAGCGGCTCCAGTATCTGGTAAGAGACTTAAAATCTTATATTAGCAGGTAGTAAGAATGGAAAGGTTGCCTACCTAGTTCTTTATATGTGAAATTGATACTTTGCATTGCCCGTGTTAAACCAGAAGAGTACTTGGTATCTCTGATAGCTATTAAGTACCATAAGAATAGTTGAGGTTTATATGAATGAGCCAGAGGGAGAGTTAAAACATTGTCTTTTAGTTCCAGTTGGACCAAAGTTCCCATGATATCTGAACTCAAGGGTGTGGTGGATTTTTTAAACCAAGGTGAACGGCTTCAAACCCCAGAACTGCAAACTGTCTACAAAGCCCAGAATTGTTGCCAAATGATTTCTTTTAATATGTCAGAAGAGGAAATGATTAAATACATGAAGACTAGGCATACTAACTGCAGGAGTTTCATGTCTTGAGAAATATGTCCAGTTCCTGAACAATATAACAATCCACATTCAGTGCAACCAAGAGCTGTAGCAGAACACTGATTGATTATGTGCCATCCAATCAGTGTCAACTCTTAGCGACCACATAGATAGATTTTCTCCATGATGATCTGTCCTAACCTGGTCTTTCAGGTCTTCTAATGGTGCCCCTATTGCCACTGTAACAGTCCATCCACCTTGCTGCTAGTCCTTCCCTTTCCTTCCACCTTTCCCAGCATTAGAGCTATCTCTTTGCATAAGATGTCTGAAGTAGGATAATTTGAGCCTGGTCATTTGTGCTTTGAGTGGGAACTCTGGGTTGATTTGTTTGATAATCCATTTGTTTGTTTGTTTGGCTGTCCATGTATTGTTAGGAGTCTTCTCCAACATGGCAGAACTTACAAAGCAGTCATCATCACCCACACTCAGTGCAATCAAGAGCTATGGTCGAACATACAAAGCAATAAAGAGATGGCACTTAAACACTAAGAGTTCTGGTATAGCCAAATGTTCATGTACTATCCCTGCCTATACTAAATGGTATGTTTTGACTTGCCGAATTCAGAATGGACAAGGAGTCTGGTTTATTATTCCCCCTGTGCCTTGGCAGTTCTCAGAATATTGGTGGCAATCTCTGTCCTTCCTATTTCCATTTCTTAAAGCAAAAACAGCCAACTCTTTGTCAGGTTGTGGAATCTGCCAAGTGCGGCCTTTACATAAATTCTCTGGAGGAGCAGCTAGTACCTCAGGCAAATGCTACACACAAATCTGTTTTTGCCTCCCTTGTGTCCCTTGCTTTCTCTCACAATCTCTAGCACGTCATCATGTAAGTGGCCTTTTGTCCTGCTGAGGCTGATTGGGACAGGTTTGGGAGGCCAGATGGCTTTTCTTTTTTAGAAATACTTGCTCTTTAGAACATAGGTTGGCTGATTATAAAAACAGGAATGGAAGACACAGGGACAGAGAACTGTTCTATACTCTTGATTTTTTTTAACCTTTCTTCACATTACCCGGTGTCTTCAATGTTTGGGAAGGGTGAACTATTTTAGGAGCATGCATATTTACAGCAACAAACAAAACAAATATAAATATTCATGCTTCTGTCATTTAAATAATTTGTGTGGCTTTAAAATCAAGGAGGTTCTGTGGCATTTTTGGAATATGGTCTTACATGAAGGAAACAGAGACAGAACATTGCCTGTGAAGGTCTCTTCCTTTTTTCTGGTTGGACTTAAAAAGAAGCACCTGATTTAAGAATGCTTCTGCCATTTCCCTAAAACCTTCTCCATATGTACCGAATACATATGTACCAAAAACATCTCCATATGTACCAAATAGGCTCTGCCTCTGGATATCAGATGCGAAGTAATAAAGGTGAAATTGCATTAGGGAGAGTTTCAGAAGCACTGGAAGTAATACTGTATGTAATGAGAAGAAATATTTTGTTATTCCTATTATACTTAGTCTTCCTCTCTTTTTCTTCCTCAGTCTTGCTGCTACTGCAAGATGTTGGGATGAGATGCATGGAGTCTCCCCCTGCCCCACCGTATAACAGCAGCTTTTGTTTTTGTTTTAGGGATCTTATCTAGATGCTACCAAATTTATTATGAACACCCACTGAAACCAGTCAATAAGTCAGATAGCAGCAGCAGTAGCATATATCTACGAAATAGGCCTTTTGTGTAAAAGAAGCCATTTTGAAGGCCAGAGAAATGTAACTGCCTTATCAGATTTGTGAGAGGAAAAACAGCAGCATTTCAGAAAGCAGAGGGAGATGAAAGCTTTGATGCAGCAGCTGATCAGCAGATCTCTCATTAAATTTGTTTGATTTGTTTTAGGCAGGAATCTCTTGTCTATTAAGTTTATGAAACTATGGATTTTCCACTAAATATGTAAATGATCTGTATGTTTTTTAAGTTGTTCAATCATTTTTATTAAAGTTGGTATATTTAGTAATATTTATAGCAGTGATTGAAGAACTGGTGTTGATTAATTATTTTGGATGACACCATATTACAGAATCACCAGGTACAGTGTGTAACACATATGCAAATAGATCTAAAATAACACAAGACTTAAAAAAAAACTTTATAACCAACAGCTAGCTTATATCTCCAGCAAGCTGAGAATATGTCCAAGTAGTGTTATCCCTTTGAGAAGTCAGATCTGCAGGTGAAAGGTCTTGTTCTCACCCAGGATCTCTATGTACAATTTTTAGGGGTTGGCTGATACAGATTGCTTTGGCAATGAACTCTTGTTTGGGCAGTCAAATGAAACTGAGTCCAGACATCACTTTTTCCCCAATAATTTGATCTGCCTAGAAAAGCTAAGGGTATTGGCAATCTATAAGGCTAGCAGGCTGCCAACAGCTCATAGATAAGATGAGAAAATACAAATTAGGGTCTGATACAGTATTGCGGAATTGTGATGCTCAGCCCTAGCTCAGTATAGGATCAAATGCATAAGCAGCTTCTCCTGATAAATGCCAGACGAAAGTGCAGCAGTTGTGCAAGCCAAACAATGAAAAGATGTAACTAGGGTTTTGAGATAGTTTGATGAGATGAAATGAGTTGTAATTACAGACTTCTGGTATGATTGCCTAGTCATTGTCCTCTCTTAATTTACAGGCCTATATGCAGCCCCATTTGCTGGGAAATGAGTTTACGCATTTGGAGTTTCCAAGGAGAGTTCAGCGAAAGGAAATTGGAAAAAGAATGCTTTATCGAGACTTTAGCATGATTGGCTGGTAGGTGTTTACCCCTTTTTGGAAAACTGGGAAATATGCTTTAAAAACATGCCCACAGATCTGGTCATATACTGTATATGTAACATTTAGACATACAAGGATTCTTATAGAATACACCTTTCAGTCACACAACTAACTATGTATGCAGGTGGCATAGAGCTTCCTGGATGTTGCTTGGAGCCTGGTTCAGTGATGATAAATGGTTGTACACAACATGCATGTTCTGCATTTTGTTTAAGATTTGCAGCCGTGAGTCCAAGAACAGCAAGGAGAGGGATCTGACCTGCTGTGCGTTCTGTACATCTCTTGGCAGTGACAAATGAGCTTGTTTTCTGTAAGTGCACACATGGCAGAGGAACAGAAGCAGTGTCACTGGTGCAGGATAAGCTGGAGAAAAAACAGAAACCTCACAGATACCCCTTAATTGAAAAGGAAGGAGTCAATAGCCATTTAAGATTTAGGGCTCATCTTCATTTCCCCCTAGCTGAACACATAATGATTTTTCTGTGAGTTCACGATAATGTTGCCGACGCTTATCCCCCGCCCACAGTTTAAGCAGCTTCGAGTCACCTTTAGCTGTTCCGGTTCTAAGGTAGCATTTCCCTTCTAGCACTTTCCAGTTCTAATGGGGCATCCTAATTGTATACCAGTTTAGCATTCATTTGAGAGCACTAGATTTATTTTTTTAAACATGAGTTTAGTGCTGTTTTGAAAGAGCATTAGACCTTTCTTTAAAAAACAGCATCCTGCCCAGAAGTTTGATTTAAAGCAGGAGAAAGAGATGGTTTTTGTCAGCTGTGTTGCTTGTTGTGTCATCAGGATATGCACTACAGGGTTTCTGCTGCTTTTACCAGCAGGGTTTTACATGGCCATACTTTTTGTTACTTTGTGTGGGTGTGGACGTGCCCTTTTGTCTACTCCCTCTCCATTTTAGCTATTCTGTAGGCTGCTTCCGGAGTTGCTGGCCGTACTGTCATTTCCTTGTGGCACTAGTTGAGGATGCAGCCAGGGAAGTTCACCTGTCACTTTCCTTAACCTGTCTTGCATTAAAAAATGTAAGAACAGGACCACTCACAAGTCTTGAGACAAAATAGGGATCCGTAATGAGGGGAGCACAAAATTTATGCTGGCATGTCCGAGATTCCAAGAAAATGCTACTGTGGCTGTCTGGCTGTGCCCTTAGATTGGAACTGTACGTTACTTCCTGCTAGGGTCCTTGCATTGCTTGATTGTGAAAGATTTTTACTTCCAAAGTTGTTTTAGGACATGGAATAGTTTTATTTTCACTTTTGACAATATTTCAGTTCTGATTCTGAAGTAAGTACTGTTGATCTTGGCTTCTTTATTTTGGAGGTCAGTGTAATGCCATAGCTAGGCTGAGGAGCTAGGGAAACAGATTCAGATTCTCATTCACTATGAAATAGCTGGCTGGTCTTGTTCCCACCCTCTTTTATCTGTTCCATTAAAGAGGTATCTGTTTTGTGTCACATTCTGCTGTTCTTGTTTTTTTACATTTCCTTCTTCCTATTTATTTACGAAATATATTATTACACTTCTACCCCGCTGCAATCAAACAACTTGGCGGCTTAGAGACTATTTTAGCTCTCCTCTTTTATAGCTGGAATATTTTTAATTGAAGTTTAGTAACACTGCTCTCCTAAAGACCTTACTTACACAATCTGATACTTATTTCAGAAGTGTAAATCTTGATCTTGGTGCTAAATTGCTTCAGAATCCTACCTTTTTCCTTTCTGATAAATAAGTAAAAGCAAACGTGTGTGTGTGTGTGTGTGTGTGTGAGAGAGAGAGAGAGAGAGAGCGAGAGAGCGCACATACACATTAGTGGAACTGCACAAATTCAAGATTAAGAAATAAAATAAAAACTGAAACCCACGATTCTGGGATGAAAATGAAATATCCAAATACTATCTGGGACAATGAGAGGTTTGGGGATATGCTGTTCACATACAAACATATAGGAATGCTTGTTTGTTATAAAAGTGTAATAAAATACCAATAGTCCTTGCTTAACGACCCTAATTGGAACTGGCAACTCTGCTGCTAAGCGAAGTGGTCGCTAAGTGGGAAATCACATGACTGTGACTCTGCTTTCCAGCTGGAACAATACCACACTAGTCGATTTTACACCTTCTGCTTTTGTTTGTCACTCCCCCGCCCTTGGGAATGCTTGAGTGCCTGCCTTGTACACATTGAGAGCAGTGCAGTCACGCAGGCAGCCCAGGGCTGGGAGCTGCGGGTGTGCTCTGCAAACAGCTTACAGTACTCTCTTGAAATCCTTTCTCTTCAATCTCTTCACTCTGGCGGGGGGAGGGGGAAGCAAGTGATTTCTGTAGGCAATCTCTCCTTTGCCTGACTCTTCCCTGCCCCCTGCAGAGTGGAGAGATTGGAGAGAAAGAGATTTCAAGAGACTAAGCTTAGTGTGCCGGTGGCTCCCAGCTCTGTATGCAATCATATGGGTGGGCTGCCCATATGATTACATTGCTCTCGGTGTGTCGAAGAGCAGACAGCTTACTCTCTTGAAATCCCTCTCCAATCTCTCTGCTCTGTGGAGGGGTGGGAGGGGAAGGGTGAGGCAAAGGAGAGATTGTCTATAGAAATTGCTTGCTTTTTTCTTCCCCACCCC